TTTTAATCTACAAATCGAAATATCATTCGATATATTTGCTTACTTACTTCATTCAAATATCATATACCTATGTATTAGTTTAAGGAATTTCTTAATAACGAATTTTTTTTAAATGATACCCGATATGAAAAATTGCAAATTTATTTATGGTTGATGAGAGTTCAATTAGTTTCTATATACTGATCGTATATGTACTGTTACTATTCAACCAAAATCTTTATATTCAGCTTTGATAAGAGTAAAATAAACATTGTATTCGAATGCCGAAAATGAGTTCATATTTGTATTTATTTTCATTTAAATTGAAATTATAATGAATTAAACGATTGACCACTCAAATCTAAACAAATTTTCATCACCTTCCACAATCTGTAGAAAATGATTATATGTCGATAAAAAACTGATTTCGCTCTACAAAGAATCACTTTCGTTCAATGAAATTAAATATTTTCAAAACATGTATATTTATAGATAAATAATTGTTATTGGAAAAAATATCGAAAAATCTCAAAAAAGTATTGTAAAATTTCCATTTTTCAACGTGATACCACGAGAGCACACAGCATGATGCAATCAAAAGTCCGTATTTTTCAACATTAGGATTTCACTGTTGAAATATATCGTACCTCGAAATGAAACCGCAGACTCAGCATGCGACATACTTGACACGGTTGAATGCATCAGCAGTGTGGCGCGTTTTCTTTATATTTCATTGAAATTCTGAATAACCTTTCTATTCGAATTGAAGATCTCTTATAATCCAAATAAGTTTAGATTATGAGCTTGACATTTCTGGATATGGTATATAAATTGTTGGTATTCAAGGTAGAGTTTAAATTGAAGGATTGTTGTATTATTTTCGTGAGGTCATGTGAATCAGTGAAGTTTGACAATTAATTTTTCACTTCGGTCTGTTGTATATCTGTTTATTATATTGCTGACTTTTATTTGATTTGCATTAATTTGAATTGTTCCAGTAGAGTTATTGTCTAGACACTATCATAAAATTAAACCTGATAATTTATCTTGAAGCATTTATGCAAAGTTTCAATATTCAGTCACAATCATATTTGAATATTCGATTCCATTGGTTCAATTTGATTAGGACAGTGACATAACTAGATCTTGAGGGTCACGTATGACTCTGGCCAGTGATTTGAAACTCTGGCCATTGAAGAAGCCTACACGAAGATCCGAGTCTGGTTAAGATACGTTGACGACACCTTCATAGTAGAGCATCATGGAAATACAGAACTACACACCTTTTGAAAGCACATCAACAGCGTAAATCCTTCCATAGCCTTAACAATGGAGAAGGAAGTCCACAACGAATTGCCATTCTTGGACATTTGTATAACGAGAACCCACTCACACAAGACTCTAGTCAGTGAATCGTGCTTTCGGGCTCTGTAATACAAAACGTATATTTTTTCACTCTTTTGATTTTTTGCTCATTTTTAATTTTTACTATTTTTGATTTTTTTTTACTCTCTGGTAATTTTCATCTCATATCTTGATTATTTCATTATATTCATTTCATCGTATTTTCATTTAACGTTATATCGCTTATACATATTTGATATTTTAGTTATTCATATTATTTTTATACACTCGTGAATATTTGGTGGTTGTAATTATCATGTAAACCCTCATTCATTGAAGCGAATTTTGAATTCTTGAATAAAGATTGTAAACGATTGAGAATACATAACAATGTCACCAGAAAAGAAGAACAGAAATATGAATTTCAACATCCTTTCTCCTGGACATATAGGAGGTTATTATAATGAGGACAAACCTGACATAATGAATAGATCCCTGAATTTCTGAGAAAAAAAATTAAAAAGTAAGCAAAAGCTTTTATGAGCCGAAAAAATTGCATTTCACTGTTTCTCACCGAAGATGAGAAACGGGAACAAGAATGAGGTTTAAATCTCGATATTATCTAAGAAGGCCGAGCAAGTTAGAAAAATTTGGTACAAGTAATGGTATAATTTTTTAACTGATTTTGCTACTTCTATCGACCACCTAATAAAATCAAAGAAATCAATCACATTAATCAAGAAACAAAAATTCCAAAACATATCAGCAAAGTAAAATTTTTGGTCGACCCGGACTGAATTGAAATGATACTTTTGTTATATCAATATTTATCTCGGCGCTACCATATTTATCAGTGAAGATATTCATAAACACAAACTGTAACAGGAAAACATGGCATCTTTTGAAAATATCGTTTCAATTTCCTCGTCTTGGAGCGCATTTTCTTCTTCGCTATGATAAATATAGTCGAACACGATTTCCTTATACACACAACGTTATGCCTCGTAGAAAATGATAATTTATGAGGGCAGATACATTTCTCACACATGTGACTACTGAAACCGCGTCACGAGACGTAAAAATGCATACAAATAAATAATGTATACTTACAAAAAGAATAAACAGAGAATGAGTTTGCAAAGATGGTGAACAGCATTCTTCCCTCGGACCTTGGGAAACGGCAGAATCATTTTCGTAACGTTGCATAATGACAAAACAAAAATGTAATAGCATGATTTAAGACAAAAAATTATTGACTGAGTTAGATTAAGATAAAAGTGGGAAGGTCTATTCGGCTCTGCAGTACATCTGGTGGTGAGAGTTAAACCCCTACTAAACTCTGAAAACCTGTTTCGCAAACTTTTTATTTCCTTAGAATTTTGCATAGTCTGTTCTCGAAAAAATTGATTTGTATTGACTCATCTATCCATGCTAATAATTATACAATTTTTATACTACAAATTTTATTCAAATTCAAGACATGTTTCAATACAAGATAGTTTCATTATTTGAACTGGTAGTCGTACATCAAACTATTCTAGGTACACTTTGTCCATACAAGCAACAGACTGCTCCAAAACATTATTATGCATAGGGCACGTGATCTCCCAAGCTAGGCTGCTTGTACAGAGTCGCACTATGGAATGACCATTTTTTTTTAATAATATGCAGATGGGTACAAGAACATTTTCAGGTGAAGTGTACGAACACACATAAGCATTTTCTTCAGCCGTATCAGTACTGACATTTTAAAATTTTCAAACTTTTGAACATGTAAACAACACAAGCGTTAAAACGTAACTCTGACTTTGTAGCGATATACCTGAATGAATTCCACCAGCCCATGGCACTTGAATCTGATTGGCCAGAGTAGGCACGCTTGTTCATTTAACCCAATAGATTCAAATGTCTATCATCGTTTGGGTTACTTTGTTTGTTTGATGGACAGAGTTTACAATGTCTTTCATATGTCGGTAGGTTAGATAAATGATAAGCTATGGTATAACAGGTAATTCATAGGAAGAAAAGAGAAATGAAACTTTCCATGTTTTTTACCACTTTCATTTGTAACTAACGTTACTGCAGTTTCGTCCTATACGGACATTTTCAAACTTATACAATAAACTCCTACCACGATTTCCTACCTCTTAGTAATGGCTACATCCATCAATTTAGTAATTTATAGGGTTTAATTTTTGTTCATTTTCTGTATGTAATATGTCGTAGTTCATGTAGAAATCATGACTGTTCTGTAATAGGTGGCAAGCGTAGGTGGAATGGGTATTCTTCGGTTAAAACATTTTTTCATCACCCATATAAAGTCATGGGTTCGATTCAAATGTCTGATTTGTTATCATTGCCCATGTTTGACTTATTTTCTATAGATGTCTACCAGTCTCAAATATGCTATGGTAATGTTCTCTTTTGTTAGTAGTCTTTCAATTTTATCTAATGGTTTTTCTGTATACCTTTCACTTACACCTACAAAACATTCACATCACTAACAAAAGAAAACACTAACATGGCATATAAGACTGGTTACTTGGGTAGACAATTAAAGATCACCAAGTCAACCATTAGCAAAGGTAACAAATCAGGGTTCTAGAAACTAGCATTTGGATCATTCCCAAAAGTTTATATCGGATTTATTCCACCTATGCTTGCCACCTTCAGAGAACAACAACATTTCGAAATGAACTACGATATTCAAGAACCACTTTGTTGTGAGATTTCCGCTAGACAATTTACAAAATTGTAACACTATATATTAGATGTGTTTGCTGGTTTCTCTGGTTATTAAAAACGCAAACATTCAAATTTCAAATCAAGCGACCAACAAGAAGTTATATTGATTCACCATTGTTAAACTTATTTCATAAAATAGCCAGAATTAGCATATGCACAAATTACCTGATTTCCAGAAGGCATATTGAATTTTAATTATTTTTTGTTAAATCTACAGAACGACATTCATTAAATCACCTAAGAGGAATAATTAACTGTTATGAAAGACATTGTAGAATAGTTTGATGCTTCCTGGAATTGAATTCATAGCTTGAAAATTGTTTTACGAATTTTCATCAAATGACGGGTCAGTGTATTCATAATGATTTATTGTTCTACTTGCACATATACATAGGGAGTTCTTTGAGTACTTTCAATACCTTGGTATTGAAAACGATATAACTACAGTAATTGTTAAAAACCTATGTCATTAACGATATGAAAAACGTAAAATAAACTGAAAATTTCTTAGGTTTGTGCTGTTACCTCAAGCTGAAGTCCAACAAATCTGTAGAGTTTCTCATAACTTTATTGAGTACTCACTCAACTCAACTGTACTGTACTGATGGCACCGAGCGACTCAAATTTATAGCCTTACTGCAAATACAGTCATTCAATTTGTTTCTGTAGGTTTTCCATTCATTGTCTCAATTTATTTCGACGTATTTTAGAATGCGTCGGGGTTTGATTTTGTCTTTTTTTTCGATAATTTATTGATAGCGGGACTTATCTTCGAGCAATGACGTCATCACCATTATTTTTGAATGGAACACCTGATTTTTTTTTTAGTTTCCGGAGTTATCATCTTCAATTGATACCGAAATCAGAAGTATCGTCAAATTGGCACAGGTTGGTAAACAGTTCAGAATATATCTTGAAAATGTAAAACTTACTTCAACGACCTACTTGGGCATTCAATTCGTCTCTGACACTGTGCTAGAACTCGCACGTCAGAAGGTAAGGCTTTGTTAATCCTTGGCTCACATAAATTTCGATTTTTGAGGATGATTGCTGCGAAATGTAGCGGTGCGAAACAGATTCTCCGGTTCCAAAGTATTGGCTTCAGATGAAATAATTGTATTCCGTTTCCTTCCATTGACCTTTCAAGGTAGTTTTGTTCTGGTATTCTTTCAGATTAGACTAACAACAGACTATTGATGAGCGTTTTGGCAGTGAATTTCTGTTTGAGGAATGACATGAAAACATCCTGTTTCTTTTTGTCATCATGCTACTCTAAACCTGTCAAATTTGACATTTTTTTCGTGTATCCTAAAAAATCAGTTTTTTTCGTGTATCCTCAAAGAATCAGTTTTTTTTCATTTTTCCGTTTCATTTACCAATAATCTTATAATATGTTATGGTGACTTTGAGAAAGTTTTTGCACTTGACTTTGAACGACTTTGACCAACGTCACCCGACGCAGATGAGCTGACTTCGAGACAGTGTTTTTGGTTTGATCTTGAATAACCTTTATTGATTCACACGGTTATTTCGAAGATTTGGAGATTCAACCTTCAACGACCTTCAGCTGCATGGTCGGAAAGGCTTTTGTAGTGCGTTTTCAGTTTGACTTGGAGTGACCTCCCATATGCCTCTGCTGAGGTGAGTCTTAGGGCGCATATGCAATCTCTCTACCTCCTCCACTCTCTGAAAGAAAGTAAAAAAGAAGGACCACTTACTCACAAGAGTCAGTTTCATATCGCATGTATTGAATATCTCTACGAATATGTGATAGGTGCGGTTAAAGTTTCAGCCGTAAAGATTACTTGCATTGTCATCAAGTGCAGTCCTGCAGGCCGGATGATGCTGCAGGACTGCACCAAGTGCAAATCATGAATTGTGCAACTATGTTAGTATAATGGTGGAAACACCTGGAAACATTTGAGCACAGAACAAATTCCTGTACAGAATTTGACGATGGTGTGAAAATCATCAATATCGCATTTAAATACAGGATCGTTAGCTACAGGGCCGAAATTGAGAATCAGCATTCAGACTACTATTAATTTTTCAGTTAGGTCAGGCAGAAAGTTATGACTTTGATTGATCGAATGGTCGAAGTTCATAACGCATTGAAAATGAATAAATGAATATGTAGTTGTTCGGGAGGTACACAATAATAATAATAAATTTATTTATCCTTTTTTTCCGGGTGTTCATCCGTTGTGTACTATTCGATAGTCGACGTTTAGCCATCATCTCAGATGGCATTATCAAGACGAGTTACTGCTTCGCTTCGAGAGGTGTTACACCTCTCAAATTGTTGATCAATCTAACGACCTTGAGGAGGTATATAGGACATTTGTCGATAAGTCAGCGAAAGCTTAAAACACATGATATGAATTTGCTAAATTGAAAAAACAATTCCTGAAGCTGAGATTTATCCATAGCTTCACTTTCATAGCGTCGTCACTGCAGCGGTTTTTCAGAATATGGAAATTTTCTCTTGATGAGACAGAAAATAGTTTTCCTCTACAGTTTTGTCAAGGATTTGATATGGTTAGATTGTACTAGGTTACTATCAAAATCAGATTTTTATGATAAACTATACTTTACAAAAAATGAGTAAAAAACAACTCGCCGATTTGCCAAAAGAGGCGTTAATTGAGTGTGCATCACATAAAATTGCATCTGTACGGAATAAGCTACCAAAAAACCTACAAAATGATATCGAAGTTATGAAGTATTAGTACTGTCAGGACTATTACAATAATTTCAGCAGCAGTAATTCCGATGTGAATGATGGTCCACCTAGTGGAAAAATCTTCTGGTGTTACTGTGACGTGAATGTAGTCACACATAATGAAATGTATGGGTTGGATAGACCACCTAGGAGGCGACGATTACTCCACAATTTCTACTGCCACCAATAAAAGAATGTGAATCATTGAAAATTCATCATTTATGTCAGGTACGTTATCGGCTAATCTAAAAAAAGCTAACCCATCCCCACCATTGTGAAAATTTCAAATGGAATCGATGAAATCAATAAGGTGATTCAAAAATTCATCAAATTCAAAGAAATGCGATCGGGAAATGGGTTTGAGGAGAATATCGATAAAGTATTTCTCTTACAAACAATTCTCTGAAATGTGAAATGCGTTTGACATATCATATCCATCTCAAACATGAAAACAGCAATGCTGAACTTTTGGGGTTCGAATGTGACTAGCAAAGATGGGACCCACAAACCAACATTGCCAGTGACAATCAATAGGGTGAGAATTATTCGTCTGGATTCTAATGTCACAGCTGGAACATATTCGAATGGTGGTGAGATCCACAGCATCTTCGAATTTGATATTAATGTAGAGCCCAGATTCAAACTCACCAAGGGAACCACAAAATATTATTTTGTGGTTCAATTTCAATCAATTTCAATGGAAAAAAATAATCGTCAAGTTGGAATTGATGAAGCTACACCAATTAAATTAGAACTCATGTGAATGATATCTGATTCTTGTTCCTCCACGAATGTTCGATATACAAACTGAATAGAGAAAAGTATCTTCTGTATAATTCAGTGTTCATATAGAAGTATTTGTTTCGAAAGAATTTTTTCTTTCGTGTAATTCAATGTTTATATGAAAATAGCTGTTTCAGGAGGACTTTCTTTCAGTTTGTGTCTGAAAGTTACTTCTTTGCATGATCTACACATCCATGTATAGAGTTACTTATTTTCAAATTGATTAATCCTTCCTTTCTTTGGAAGATTCTCTCATCCATTTTTTTTGTATCAGATGGAGTAGTAGAAAGCCAAAAACTTTCTTTCCCAAAAAATTAATCACTCCTAAAAATATAACCCTTTCAAACCAATTATCATTTCTCATATATTTATTCACAACATCGACAACTGTGATTAGAGTTTGATGCCAGGGTGGGTTAAAGGACGGTTAAAAAAATTAAAAGAATGGCGATGGTCGCCTATTTTAAGGCTAAAAACAAGTCGTACTATAAAAATGGTATGTATGATCGCTATGATCGTTGTGTTTTTACAAAAAAATACTGTTTCGTGTATCATGAAAATGAGTAAAGCATCAATAAGTTTGATCGAAAAAATAAGACAGCTTCAACTAGCAGATTATTATCAATAATAAAGCTGTACACTCGGCGATGATTTCATCTGATAAAAACATAGGATTGTGCTTCAATTGATAGCTATTGCAGCAGCGACAGCAGTTGAATCAGCGTAATGTATCTGGTGGAGATTAAGTATCATACGCAATTGAAGAAAATAAAATTTAAAAGTCGATTCATTTCACGCGCGTCCGCTAAGCGGTCATGGTATATGAGAAGGGCTAGTAGCCTGAAGTACCTCTAATCTATTGGTTTGAAGCTGCGATAGATACAAAAGCCGGCTGCCGGCTGCCATCACCGCAAGTGATAAATTGCAGGTTTTCTATGAGCCCATGTTCGACCATTTCCTCATTAGTCTCCATGAGCATATATATGATAGTTCATAGTATCACAAGAATTGGAACAAAGTCAGAATCCTCATCAACTTTCGAAATCTGATACTCGATATTGCAGATAGTTATGTATATATGGATTAAATGGAAAATGGAGACAAGTGAGTAATTACTAGCGGGTATCCTCGAATATTTCATCTGTTTAAAATCAAATGAAGTGAATTACAAAGTGAAACGTGCATCAAAGACATCAGCATATCGGACTCTATCATATGCGTAATTATCTTTCAAATTGTTCAGCTGGGTCATCCACATTCCATTTTGAATATTAGAATATTTAACTTTATTTCAACGTACGATCTAAGAAGTCGTGAGGTTTTTTGCTGCAATCCAACAAATAAATATCTGTGCGCAAAACGAATCACTCATTGGATCGCTCAGGAATTTGTCACTATCGAGCTGCCATCTGTGCCTCACTAGTTAGTAAAGTTCATCAGTTCGCAGGGGAGATGTCGAGCTTCGACTCGATGTTGCAATCTCAGTTTCAAAGGAATCTGCGATCCAAGAAAGTGGAATCCATGACAGAGGCAAATGTCAATCTGATTATTCAACAAATAACTCTCAATCTCACAAGCACTATTGATACAAAGTTTGCACAATTACAAAAAACACTCAATAGCACTGACAAACGTATAACAACCAATTCAAATAAAATTCTAAAAGTAGATGAAAGGGTTGATTTTTTCGAACAATACACCAGAAGATGTAACCTTAGAATATATGGTCTTAATCTCAGGCCTGACCAGAATTTGGAAGAAATGCTTCATGGGTTTTTGACCAATAAACTTAAAATGAAAAACTCTACAACCTATGATATTGAATGCACATTTAAAATATCTGATAAGGTTGTATTGGTGAAGTTTGCCATATACCAAATGAAGCAAGCAGTATTCAAAATGAAGAAACTCAAATGCTCCAAAATTACTATTAGAGAAGATTTGACTCCTTTCCGTCATGAAACCGCAATCTGGTTGAAAATAAATATGGATATAAAAATGTATGGACCATTGACGGAAAGCTTCGTATCAAGATAAACAACAATATAGTGAAACCGAGTTTCAATGATTTATGTAAACTGATGGTAGAAGTTCCCCACTCGGATGAACAAGAAAACTTATAACTGTTTTTTTAGAAATTATTGGTGCAGTATGCGAACTCTCTTTTTTTTCTCCACCAGAAAATATTCAATAATTTAAGATTGGTTCATCAACTTGGAATATAATTTAATGTCCTTCAACTCATATGATTTTTTTTTCTTTTTATAATGGTTAGAATGCTTTTTATATTTCAAGTGTCAATAAACATTCATATAAATTTAGGATTCTATGTATCTTTAGTTCCACTGATTTGATTTCAATTAGGTAGCATTATTTTTTCTCTCTCTGTTTTTTGTTCGCGGTACTCTTAGTTATGAATCTCAAAATCGCAACTCTGAATTTTCTTATTAGTCAGTGGGCTATGCTTGAAGACTGGCAGTAAACAAATCTAAAGCAAATGGAACTTCGAACATTCAAGCCAGTCTCTATATACCTAAACAGTAGGTTTAATGGACTGACGCCTATCAGAAAACAACTACTCCCCTGGCTAATACCACGAAGGGCGTTGGATTATATCCGACAGGCGTCAGTGCAGGAATCTTCACAGAAAATTTCCTGCATATGCAATTGGCAATACAACTGAAAGAGTCGACCTTCAATTATGGAACGGCACACTTGCAGACCGGTTTCGGGCTTATTAGCCACTCATCAGTGCAAGATAGTGACCATCATCGACCTAAAGTCAATGATATTCCACAATTGAAAATCGGAATTTTTTCAGAGTATTTCATTCCTCTTCCGAAGATGAAGCGAACATCACAAAATGTCACTCCATCTAGGGGACGAGGTACTAACCAACTGCATATCCGTAATTTGCCCGATTCCTCTGAATAAGGAAGAAAAACTTTCTTATTAGTCAGTGGGCTATGCTTGAAGACTGGCAGTAAACAAATCTAAAGCAAATGGAACTTCGAACGTTTAAGCCAGTCTCTATA